GGAGAGGAGGTCAAGGGTGGGGGGCACCCAAATTTGGGGGGGGAGCACCTCAATGGGAGCACCCCAACCTGGAGAACATCAACGTGGAGAACCTCAACAGGAGCACCCCAACATGGAGGACCACAGTGGGGGCACCCCAACATGAACATGGAGAACCACAGTGGGGGCACCCCAACATGGAGCACCCCAATGTGGAGAACCTCAATGTGGAGGACCTCAATGGTGGCACCCCAAGATGGAGAACGCCAATGGGGGCACCTCAACATGGAGCACCCCAACATGGAGAACCTCAACGGGAGCACCCCAACAGGGAGAGCTCCAAGATGGAGCACCCCAACATGGAGGACCTCAGTGGGGGCACCCCAACGTGGAGAACCCCAACACGGAGAACCTCAACGTGGAGGACCTCAACATGGAGGACCTCAATGGTGGCACCCCAAGATGGAGAACGCCGATGGGGGCACCTCAACATGGAGGACCTCAGTGGGGGCACCCCAACGCGGAGAACCCCAACATGGGGCACCTCAACATGGAGGACCTCAGTGGGGGCACCCCAACGCGGAGAACCCCAACATGGGGCACCTCAACATGGAGGACCTCAGTGGGGGCACCCCAACGCGGAGAACCCCAACATGGGGCACCTCAACATGGAGGACCTCAGTGGGGGCACCCCAACGCGGAGAACCCCAACATGGGGCACCTCAACATGGAGGACCTCAGTGGGGGCACCCCAACGCGGAGAACCCCAACATGGGGCACCTCAACATGGAGGACCTCAATGGTGGCACCCCAAGATGGAGAACGCCAATGGGGGCACCCCAACGGGGAGAACCCCAACATGGGGCACCTCAACATGGAGGACCTCAACGGGAGCATCCCAACATGGAGAGCTCCAACATGGAGAACCTCAACGTGGAGGACCTCAATGGTGGCACCCCAACGTGGAGAACGCCAATGGGGGCACCTCAACATGGTACCTCAAGGGGAGCAGTTCAACATGGAGCACCCCAATGTGGAGGACCCCGATGGGGGGCACTTCAACATGGAGCACCCCAATGTGGAGGACCCCGATGGGGGGCACCTCAACATGGAGCACCCCAACATGGAGAACCTCAACATGGTGAACCTCAATGGGAGCACCCCAACATGGAGAGCTCCAAGATGGAGCAGTCCAACATGGAGGACCCCAATGGGGGCGCCCCAACAAGGAGAACCTCAATGGGATCCTACCAACACCCCAACCCAGGAGCACCCAACCGGGATCATCTCAGATGGGATCCCCCCAACCCACCACACCCCACCCCAGAGCACCCAACCTTGACCTCCCACCCCCAAACCCAGGTGCTCCCCCCTCCTCCCCCCTCAAAAGCCCCACACACCAGAAGAGGTTGCGGTAGTAGTGGATGGGGGGGGTCAGCCCCCCAGGTTGGGACAACCCGTAGAGATAGGCCTCCACCTCCTCCTCCGACAAGCGATGCTCCGGGTCGCGGATCCCCGTCCAAGGGCCCGTCAGGATGGTCTTCACCAACTGTGGGGGCCACCAAGGAGGAGCAGAAGGTCTAGATGATGCCACCACCCCCAAAAACCACGTGACAAGGGACCTCCGGTTCTTCTCAAGAAGTTCTTGAGAAGGTTCTTGGGTTGGGGGAGGTGAAGATGGTGGGAGGGAGGACCCGAGGGGACGAGGTGGGGATGGGGTCTCACCTCAAAGTCGGCCAAGGAGAGGAGGAGCTCGGGCAACCAGGGCAACTGGAAGAGGAAGATGTAGCTGGAGCGCAGGAGCTGGGAGGGGTGGCAGGAGGTGAAATCTGGGACAGGAGAGGGGACAGAGGGGACACCACGGTCACGGCCACCACGGGGAGGGGACAAAACGACCCCAACCCGGCCACCAGGAGGGGACAAGAACCTGGTGGCACCAGCACAGGAGGTGGCAACTCATGGGATGGTCAGGCGGTGGCATCTGATGGCGTGGTCATGAGTGATGGCACCCAACGGTGGCACCATGAGAGGTGGCACCCAATGCCATGGCCATGAGAGGTGGCACCTGAGGGCATGGCCATGAGATGGCACCCAATGCCATGGCCATTGGAGATGGCACCCAACGGTGTCACCATGAGAGATGTCACCTGGTGGCACGGTCATGAGATGGCACCCGATGCCATGAGCGCTGGCACCCAATAGTCATGAGATGCCACCTGACGACCCCACCCACCTGAGGGTCCCCCCCCCCGTCCCCATACCTGCCATGATGGCCCGTTGAGGAGCGTCCATGATGACCAACTTCTCCACCATGGTCGGGTGCCGGGCGGCCACCTCCCAGGCCAGGACCCCGCCCCAGTCGTGTCCCACCAGGACGCACTTGGGGGTCTCCTCGGTGGCCCCGGTGCCCTGGGTCACCTCCCCTCGCCCGCTGGTTGTCCCCAAAGCCTCGATGACCTGGGAGATGTCCTCCAGGAGAACTTCCAGCCGGTAGTTGGACTTCCCCGGCGGCTTCTCAGAAGCTCCGTAGCCTCGAAGGTCCAAGGCCACCACCCGGTAATGGGTGGAAAAGACCTGGAGAAGGTGCCTCCAACAGAACCTTTTGGG